CTCTTTAAGCAAGAAGCGTTATTTTCTGAGCTTAATTGATCACTCTTGAATGATGATATACTATTCAGAATAAGTATGCCACGGAATAAACAGACGTTTGGATTCGATTGAGCTTGACAAAATGATGGTATATATGCTCAAAATAATTTGAGTGACAAGTGCTCAAATTACATACGCACAAAATAATTCGTGTACCATATGCTCAAACTATATTGCTCGAAACAACCCAAGTGCCAAATACTTAAATCACACATGCTCAAAATAGTTTGAGTGGCAAATGTTTAAACTACACATGCTCAAAATAATTTGAGTATGACTCGCTCAAATTAGTACGTATTTATAATAACTTCTCCAAAACAATTAAACACTATTCAAAACCATGTTTGAAATATGATAAACTGCTCAAAATAGATCCTGGCTCGTGCACTAGAATTTCCCTGGTCTTCCCTTTGTAATTTCGAATGCAACTGCAGGACACTATTCAAAATTCATAGATTTATCGGATCTATGCGACATTCGCCAGTGGGAATTAAATCGCACCGACTTGGTTTATTCAGCACCCACAGAGACCACGATCCAATTACCTCTGCTAATCGTTTGCGAATCCCTGATTTCGACGACACGTTGCGCCGAATTGCATTTCAAGTGACACGATACTCACGCAAACCAACGTCCACTACAAATCTTTGATAATTCAAATATGGTTTATTTCAATCGATGTCTTTCAAATCATCTTTGGTATGGTTTAGATAAGTGGAACTACTATTCCTCAATAGCCCTCAATTCCCCCAGAAATCTTCCTGTTATTTTTCGATAAAAGCAGAAGGTACTCACAGAGTTCGAAGATCTCGAAGTCCACTTCCCAAAGTCCACGGAACCGTCGTGTTCAGGATCTGCATCGACGGTATTCGCCGACGAAGCACCGTTGAAAATTCGTGGAAACTCCCCTTGGTTGGACGGAACAAACGATATTGTATAGCACGACAGGAGAGAACTCGATCGTCGAAATTCGCGTTTCTAGAGATTGGGGCACGTCGAGATTCGTTTGCTAGACCGCGAGTACTTGGCGCTTACTGGCCGATCGAAGCCGTCGGGGGACCAGCTTCTCTCGAGGTTTCCACCGGCGGTGTCGAGCCGGCTGTTCCCCTCTTCGAGACAATTCTGAGGAAGAAAGTAGGCTTCGGCTGACCCTTCTTATTCCGTGAATCGACTTCACTATTACTTGCTACGAAAACAGTGCGCTCGGTGTTCGAATCGGATCGGGCTTTCCACCTGGCGTGGAAAGTTATAACACATTGCGTTAGCGCGTAGCGTTCATTGGGAGATACCGGCGATCCGTTTCGAGAACGATCGAGTTCCACGTCGGTTCGTCATCGACGCGTTAATGGGGCGTTTCGACGGTGGAATGGTTTGGGATTGCAGCATCTTGGGGTTGGAGCATTTTGGGGATTGACATAGATTCTCATCAGGGTACGTTGAGAGTGGAACGTTTCAGTATTGAAAAATTTTAAGTTGGAACATTTTGGTGATGGAATACTTGGGCTTTGAAGCATTTTAGCTTTGAAGCTGTTGAGCTTTGAAGTATGCTGTATGCTGTTTGCTTTGAAGCATTTGCTTTTGATACTTTCTGAACTAAAGCATTTGTGTTTTGAATCACTTCTGCTTTGAATCCTTCTATCTTTGAAGCATTTTACCCTTGGAGCTCCTGGGCTTTGAAGCATTTTAGTCTTGAAGCTCTTAGGCTTTAAAGCATTTTAGTCTTGAAGCTCTAGAGCTTTGAAGTATTTTAGCCTTGAAGCTCTAGGACTTTGAAGCATTTAGCCTTGAACCTGTTCAGCTTTGGTGCATTTGACTTTGGTACTTTCCGAACTAAAACATTCGTGTTTTGAATCACTTCTGCTTTGAATTCTTCTATCTTTGAAGCATTTTAGCCTTGAAGCTCTAGTTTGAAGTAGTTTAGTTTTGAAGCATTTTGGCTTTGAAGTATTTTGGCTTTGAAGCGTTTGACCTCGATACCTTTCGAATAGGAGGATTCGTGCTATGACGCACGTTGTTCCAACTCGACCGTTTCATGATCAAAACTATTAGGTAGTTCCTCAGACCTATAGTCGCGGTGAAAACATTGCTCGGATACTAAGGGTGCCGTGAACAGAGAAAGTTTTGGAAATCTCTAGCATGATAATTACATGTCGATTAATTACGATTAGAAACTTCCACGATATTTGCTTCTGAGCGATGAATATTTTAACCGTCTTAAACGAGAGGCGACCCACGTGGTGTCAAGCGTTAGCCACGTGCGGAATCTGTTAGCTATGCGAAGCATTCGGTAGGTGCAACGGCCCGTGATATACCGTGCGACACGTTTTACCTCTTCCCTGGAAAATACGACACAGTGGAAAAGCGTTGAGCTGACTCGAAAAACACGAAGGTCAGTAGGCGATAACAAAACTGAGAGAAGATTGAGATTCTTTTTGTCCAAGGGCCAAAAGCATCCCTATGACTACTCTGATAAGCTTCCTCATTTGTTAACATTATTTGATGTCAAATAAATAAAACATATCACTTTGGTCATTTCTTTGACAAAACAGATACTCGTAATAATTAATAGAAATATTTATATTCATTAGGTATATTAAATTATTCTAAAATGTGGTGAATATTTTATTTAAAACTTGGTAGAATTTAACAGTTATCTTAAATAATTCTAAATATTTAATTTAAAACAGTGATTTGCGAACTATATTATTTATATCCTACTTAACCAATTACATACATGATTACTTAACTTCTAGTTCTACTTAGTTGAAGATTACCAGGTCCGCCTTACGCAAATTTCTTGAGCAATCAATTGCATGAACTATTGGAAGAAGTTCCATTACATGTTGTATGTCGAGTATGATTTATGCAAGGCGGTGCACCGTTCCCTTTCAGTCGAGCAGCCAGACAGTTCTCGAGCCAACTATTTTCGAACGGATAGATAAGGCCTGCAGGATCTATTGCCTGAACTGCTTGATCTACAAAATTAAATCCACCGAATGTTTATTTTCATTCCCTTGTTTATTCATCACCTGCATAATAACGTATTCGATAAAATAACTGCGGAGTATTTCAAAGATTTTGAAACTCTATAGTAGTATCAAAACTTGTATCGTAACTCAGAGACAAAGTTGACTAGATCACATTTATATGAATTTTTTTTTATTGTTTTTGTGTATAGTCTCAGTATACATCCTGTAAATAATAATTAATTATTTAAGGGAGGCTTCAGAATTTTGTTTTTCAATGAAACATAAATAGAATATATTCAATTTGGGGAAGACCTCGAGTAGGGTCTTCCAAAATATGATTTAAAATAATCTATATTATTTAATACGTAACAAAACATTAAAATACTATCATTTTAAATAACTAGTATTTATATGACACCAGAATATACAAAGTGTCCAGGAAGAATTCTAGAAACCAAACTTCTCGATCCTCTTTGCAACTGATAGGATGACCCACAACAATAAATAATTGCGTCCAAGGGGCGTGTTGCCATTTGACCAGTGAAAAACGTCTCTCACGGAAGTTTCGACGAGCGAATGGCAAACAAAACCGCGAGCGTTGAAGCTTCTGGATGCGACATATAATTTTACAATGGCGGTCCCGTTTCGTGAACGAGCAAAACAACGCTCGCCCAGTAGGATATATAAACGTGGTGGCAAGCCTAGCGCGGACAACTTTTGCGAAACGCGCGTGAACTACTTCTACCGTCGCGCCACTCGCCGTATGTATTCGCATTCCGAACTTTCTTAAGCAATTATGTCATAACCTGTGCCCTCCTTCTTCCTATCAACCATATGCCGCGCGCCTGCGAGTCTGCAACCCGACCTTCCTTACGCGCAATGGCCGAGCATCTTCTCTTGGGGAACTCCCCGTCCACACAAGTGATGCTTGTCTATCGACGAACATATGGAGAGGCAATATACACACGCGCAAAGTTTGTGGAGTGTAGATAATAATTTTGGGTGGCGACTGGGAGAAGGGTTTGGGAGCATTTGGGTTTGAAGCAGTTTTGCTTTGAAGCCTTCTGGCTTTGAAGTATTTTGCTTTGGAGAATTTAGTCTCGATACTTTTCGAATTAGAGCATTCGTACTTTGAAACACTTTTGCTTTAAAGCATTTAAGCTTTGAAATATTTGAGTCTTGAAGTATTTGAACTTTGAAGCATTTTAGCTTTGAAACATTTTTGTTTCGGCTTAGGCCTCTTTTAGAGTTCCTTATGCCTATCTATGGGCCTCCTTACGAACATCTGAGGATGTACTTTAAGTGCTATGGAGCCTTCTGACTTTGAAGTATTTCAAATATTTGAGTCTTGAAGTATTTGAGCTTTGAGCCATTAGAACTTTGAAGCATTTTACCTTTGAAACATTTTTGCTTTTTTGGCATAGGCCTCTTTTAGAGTTTCTTATGCCTATCCGTGAGCCTCGTTACGAACATCTGAGTATGTACCTTTAAGTGAACTTTGTCAACCAACACCACTAGGCCAAAGTTCCCCCGCAAAGTTCGTTGAACTTCGAGCAAATAATTCGGCGCAACGATTCAGGGAAATGCAAGGCCATCCGACCTAAAGTTTTTAATTAAAATCTCTAATGATCGAACGGTGCTCCTCCCCCTCCCCGCCGCCCCTCTGACGGAGTCTTGCCACCGAGTTTATTCAATGCGTGGAAGTTTCAGATTCGGAACTGGTTCTCATTTTTGTCGACGACGATTCGATTCCATTCGCGTCTTTCTTCCTGTATTTCCAGACTAGAAACGAGTCTGAGCACCCATCGACCGATACTGACATAATTGCTAGTCGTGCAATTAAACTGCCCCGAAGTATTACACGAAAATATGTATATGAAAATTACATTTGTATAACAACCATAGTGTAAATGTATAAGTTAAATGTCCAATTTTTTAAATATTCCAAATTTTAAATATAAAATAAAATCAAATATACAATTAATATGTATAGAATAAAATTTTATTATACATTTCTTACAATACAAATATACAATAATTATACAAGATAATACCATACTAGAATACTTCTTCAATCGAACAAGCTATTCAGCCGCGCATAATGGTTCAGGATGAATGAAAATTATACCGACGAGGCCTTTTTGCAAACTGGAGGCTCGCGTTTCCTCCAGAGCTCGGATGCTCGTGAAATAGTCGCCATTTTTTTCGTTACTCAATCCGTCTTCATGCACGGATAACAATCAACCTACTTATCGAGACGAGCGTCCGCGATCCATATGAGTCCTCGTCCGCGATCCTCCTCGTTCTTTTTGGATTTAGGCAATTAATTAAACTTTAATATCTGCAAACGGAGACAGGGAATTGGAGACTTATTAAACGTAAAGATCGGTGCTTGAATGAGCAATTTGGGTGAGAATTCCGCTCGGTACTTTCCCTTTTCTTTTCTTTTCTTTCAATGGGCGGCGGTGATCATTATTGGAATGATGGATTTTATGGGTTCGCAATGAGTAGTATGTCTAGAACACAACTATGGGAAGGAGAAAATGTAATGTATGGAAAACAACTCAACTATGGATGTGTTGGTTTGGTTTTATTTCTTACTAATTAAGATACATCTATGTATGTTATACAACTATGTATAAACAGATCGTCAATTCACATTATATATACACTTTTCGTCGACCTTATATGTGGAGTTAAATTCAACTGCAACTGCAACCGCAACATTAACTACAGCTCCAGAAACAGATTCAGTTTCAACTGAAACTTCACATCACCTCCACCTGCACCTGTAAATACAAATGTAAGTGCATGCTGTAATTCAATTTCTCTGTAATTTCTCAACAATTTCCCTTTCATTTTCCAATAGTTTTCCTTATCAAATCCCATTACTTTCCCTTCATTTACTGCCACATTTTCTTTTCATTTTTCTTAATTTTCTGCGACATTTCCTTTTCACTTCTCCTATATCCTTGTACATTTCCCGTTAATTTCCCTCCATTTGCTGGTATACTTCCCCTTCATTTCGTGGTACATTTTCCCGTTTAATTCCCTTCATTTGCTTACACATTTCCCTTTAATTTCTCTTCACTTCCTTACACATTTCCCTTTAACCCCCCCCCCCCCCATTTCCTGGTATATTTTCCTTTAATATCCCTCCATTATCTTACACATTTCCCTTTAATATTCCTCCATTTCCTGGTATATTTCCCTATAATTTCTCCTCATTCCTGTGATATATCTCTATAATTTTGCCGCATATCTGTGATAATATCTGTGATATTTACTGGTTTAACAATATTGCAAATTGCTCCTATCGGACTACAACAATGTTGCAAATCGCTCCTCTCGGTGCTACAACAATGTTGCAAATTCAAAAATGGCGCAAATTGCTCCTCTCGGGACCACAACAATGTTGCAAATTCAACAAAGTTGCGACGCTCAGAAGTGCAACAAAGTGGCAACTCAGAAGTTCGGCAAAATGTGACTAAATCCGAAAATCGATTCAAGTTTGCAACATTGTTATAGTTCTGTGCGGAGCAATTTGCAACATTGTTGAACTTGCAACATTGTTGTAGTCTCGAGATGAGCGATTTGCAACATTGTTGTACTTGTAACATCGTTGTAGTCTCGAGATGAGAAATTTGCAACATTGTTGAACTGGCAGCATTGTTGTAGTCCCGAGAGGGCAATTTGCAACATTGTTGTAGCCCCAAGAGGGACAGTTTGCAACATTGTTAAACCAGTAAAGATCACAAATATGAAGTGAAATTATAGGGAAATATCACAGGAATGAGGCGAAATTATAGGGAAATGTACCAGGAAGTAAAGGGAAATATACCAGGAAATGGAGGAATATTGAAGGGATATGTGTAAGGTAATGGAGAGAAGTTAAAGGGAAATATACCAGAAAATAAGGGGGAGTTAAAGGGAAATATGTAAGAATATGAAGGGAAATTAAAGGGAAATATACCAGGAAATGGAGGGAAATGTGTAAGCAAATGAAGGGAGACATGATATGCGAAGAGGTGGCAACTTTTATAAAGTTGTTTCACTACATTGCATTAAATATTTTTTTTTGTATTTACATTTTGGAGTGTGCAATTTGGATCCCTTTTTTGAGACCTCGGCATTGTTGTTAATTAGTTGCTCTTATTTGTTGTTTGTTGTTTGATGTTTATCGATGGTATCAAGTTTCGACGTTATCTGCTCCGTTACAATGTATAATACGCTATCCTAATCTATTTGTTAAAATATAGATCATTCTGGAATCGAAGATCAGACTCTTGATGAGATCTCTCAAGCTATCGTACATGTAATCAGATATTCTGCGTTGATCACATTTACGTTTATTTTATACAACGGAGGTTATAGAAATGTGTTTAATTACTTACAAAACCACGTGTCTCTGGATAGCTCTCATACGTGTGCAATTGTGCACATAAACGAAGAAAACTCAATGAGACTCTTTCCCCAAAAATTGTTCTACGAGTCTTCCGCGTTGCCGAGAATATTTTTTTAATGTAATTCTCGACGAGGGTATCGTTGATATTTGCATCTCGATAAAACATTCAGTAACTCGTGAATTTATTCGAACAGCAGCGTGCTCATTCGTCCGGATTATATAGCAGAACTCGTTGCTAGCAATTTATTATGCAATAACACTGCAACGGGTATCCAGAGACAAGTGTCGGTCTAAGTACTTTTTAAACTGTAAATAATGTAGCACTTGTGATTTAGTCTTTCCTCTGATGACTTGGCGAAGGAAAAAAGTATTACTTTTGAAATAAGAGTGGGAAGGATTTTATTTTGGAAAGGAATTATACAGATTCTTCGATTTTAGTTAAATTCTAATTGACGGTTTCTAATTCTATATATTTCAGTTTTCCTAGTTTCTCTAAGTTTTCTAATTTTAGTTCTTTCAGGGGTCTAGTTTACTTTGATTCTACGTTTTCTAATTCTAATTTTTCAATTCCCAATCTGTTCAACTTACATGTTTAAGATGTATTTAATTAACAAGTCATTTGTTACGCGAAACTAAACATCTTTCTTAAATTTCCCAAAAACACAGCTCGTCCTGGTTTGGAATTAGAGAAGATCATACGTACACACAGTGGTTAGACGTAATTCCAAGGTAGGACCATAAATCTCATCGTCAGAGAGCTCGTACGCAGACGTGCCAGGAAGCACAAGCACATGAAGCATCAAGGTTGAATTTTCTACATGGTATATGATCATCGACCGCGAATTCTCAGTTTTCCTCCTTTCCCTCTTTCTCATTCGATCGCAAGTGTAACCATCGTAAGTCAAGTTCACCTCGTGAGATCCATCCATTAGCTTAGGGTAACCACAGTGCACTCAACAAAAATGCTTAACGCCTCGTGAAACGGACAAGCGATCCGTGACGGTCTATTTCGACATAGAGACGTTTCGACACTAATTGTAAGAGCCATCCTATTTAGACGCGAATATATTGCGTGTCTACGGAAATGGACTTGTAAGATAAAGGAAATAAATCTCGAGACGAAATCCGCGATAGAAAACAGGTTTCGCAAAGATACTGCGTTTCCAATGCGTGGAAGATGAGTCAGATTGCGATCTAACTGATAAAGTTTAATTAAAATGCGAGAATTGAGCAGAATGTGTTATTATTTAACTATGTTATAATTTTTGTTATTACGAATATGATATAATTTAATTTTAATATTTATAATAATTGTAATTATTCTATGCGATTATATTCTATAATTGTTTATTATTTATTATTCTGTGTATTATATTATATTATTACATGGAAGATTTATAATAAATGTACTTCTTCAACTACTTTTATATCAATCATTTTTAACCCCAGAAGAACTTTAAGTTCTATTTAAACTCCCTCTTATTTTCCATTAATCTTCCATTCACTTCCTATTCATATTTGTTTCATTCCCGAATTTATTTTTCTATTTATATTCTACTCATTTTCTATGTTTCATTTTCTCTCCTCTTTAATTATCTAATTTCGTTCCATTTTTAATCAGTTATTTCTAATAAATATCGTATTTCTAATTAATTAGAACGAATAGAATCGAACAGAGAATGAAGTCTATGAAACATGGGAGACAAATGGAGTGGAGTTTCAGAGTAGAGCAAATTCTGGAAGTGACATTAACTAACGACAGAAAGAGAAACACGTTTTGCAAACTCGAGGTGATTACATACATAAGAAGAAGCGAAGAAAGTTATCGCGGGGGAAGCCCAGCGGTATCGAGCGCCAAGCTTCGTAGTTGGATCGCACAGATGACGCCAAAAATTTGCGAAACCATTTGATATGCACAAAGTTCGTTGCACAAATACGGGACGCTTCGTATGCGTGACGTCTATAGCGTGCTCGTATTTTTATGGTTAATTAATCGTGCAGTTTGCGAAGCCCCGTGCCGGTAACCTACTTTGGAGGCCAATAAACGATTTCTTTGGTCCACTTAGAAGTCTTCGCGCGCGAGAAAGAAGAGCACCAAGCGAAATGGGCCTGTTGGACAGCGAACATTCGTCTGTCTTTTTGTCTAATGACATTGAACGAATTGGTAATAAGACATCGCTATTCATCTACGTTAATAGTAGAAACATCGCTGCGGCTTGTACAGAGTGTAACAGATTGTAGTTGAAGGCTACGACTTTCAGGGGTGAATGAAGGGTGTTAATGATGTAAAATATTAAATTAATTCTCTGTTAATACTTACTTTTAAGTTCTTGTACAATTTTCTTTTCATTTCCTTTCACGTAATCTTTAAGTCACTTTTTAAGCTTCTTCCAAACTCCTTGTCGACGTCGTGTTATTTTCTATTAGTTTGTTATTCACTTACTATTTGCGTTTGTTTTGTTTCCCATTCGTGTTCTGTTCACTTCCTACACATATGTATTTCTTTCATTTTCTATTCACCAACTTTGTTGGTTTCAATGGTTGGTTGCAAATTGACGATTTGCAGATTTGTCGCATTGGGAAGTGAATGTAAAAGTGAAGGGATATAAATGTGAAGTAAATAGAAAACGTACGTAAAACGAAAGACATGCAAATGTAAAATAAATGGGAAATGTATGGGATATGAAAGTGAAATAAAAGGGAATGCCCAAAATTGAAACTTTTTAAGATGAACGGCAGAGAAAAGACCAGGGCAAATGTACTTAAGTATAACGCGCACACTTTGTAGATTAATTAAACGCTACTTCATACCTAACATTTAAGGGGGTATTATCATCTAGAAACTTCAAAAATTCGATTTTTTTTTTTTTTTTTTTTTTTGGCATTTTCCTATTATTTGGGGTTTTGAGAAAGTGCCTATAAAATATTAATTTGAAATTCGTAGAGCTCTCATAGTTACAGAGGCTTAAAGGCTGTTCACCAGTATTAGTGTTAAATGTATAGCAAACTTTAAACGCGTTTTCCTCGAAACGACATTTTTCAAGTCGGGCGCACGTTTTTCTCAAAAACTATCGGACCGACTGACTTTATGGTTTTACACACATTTCGAGGGCACCATCACCTATGGTCTGAACTAGAATTATACCGATACCTTGAATATTTTAGCCCTGCTCTCATATTTTAGTTGACAATTTTCCGGGAAAATTAAACCTTAATTCCAGTTTTAATTCAAGTTTTTCTGTCTCAGACGACTAGAACCGCCACAGCCTGTCCGCCCGATTCAACGAGCGTTTCATGCCACAACCTGCATAACAGCGCATATAACTTGTATAGATTTCAATCAAGTATTTCATAAAAATTTGTGTTGTTAGTTGAAACGTGTCTTATTATGCATACAAAACCCTGATACTGTAGGTTTGATAGTTCTCGCAAAATTAATTCCTAAAAATTACTGGAAAAACAAACTTCTAGACGATAATACATAGCCTTAAATATTAAACTACAGACACTATTGTAACTGAAAAACCACTTACCAGCTTCAGGATAGGTCTAAAAGAAGAGGTTTCGATACACATGGGATCGTTTTATATTGCCACTTTGCAATGAATGCTTTTAATAGATCTCGATCTGTTCATCCGCGCTCTATAATCAAATGTTCTCTTCGTACCTTCGACAGTGCCGCGCTACAATGACAGTGACCGTGAATAATAATAATTATAATAATTAATGACAATGGCAATAATAATGACAAATGCTAACAATACTCATAATAAGAATAATTTAAGTCGTTGACTGTAAAAGTGGCTCGATTGTATTGCTCCCCGAATTTCGAAGGCGCATGTTTTGAGGAGTAACGCTTCCTCCCCTGCTATTAATTTGCAAAAAGCTCTAAATCCCTCTAAACGTTACTCAACGACGAATAAAATTCCACACCTCGTCCCCTCTCTTCTATCTCAGACCCCAATTCTCCCCATCACGCCGCCATTTTACAATCAAACGTTTCCCCGTTGCGCAACGATGCTATTCATCGTTTCATAACACGCGGTGCACCAAAATTAGCGTGGTTATTATTTTAATGTTTTTTGAAATCTATGTTACGCTACCTGGATGCCTTGCAAATATATAAACAAAAAATTCCTGCAAAATTTGAGCGTTTTATTTTAACATTAATATATGTATTGGACCCTCGAAAGTTTCAAATGGAAAATTAATGCAATTCTTTCACTTCTATCAATTCTTCTTTATAATTAAAGAAACAACCTCTAAACATTTTTTATTTTTATCTCAATTATTTTTTTTATATACCAGGCAAGTGAATATGAAGTTGTTCCTCCATTTAAATTATTTTTGTACTATTATCTTCAATGTTTTTAATATAAATTGTTATCGAAAGAAGAATTTTGATACAGTTTTTTTGATACAGTTTTTTTGATACATCTGCAAAGTATTTATAGACTAATTAACATAAATTTCAAAAATCATTAAAATAAGGACCACCCCAATGTAAACAGAACCAACTGTTTTACGGAGGCGGGTGCAATAAATATCATTTGCGTATTACCTTTGATTTCGATCCGGCGTGTTAATTAACAAAGCGTTTTGTAAATATTTGTATATACTATATATATAATATATGCATTTATATAAATACTTGTGACTTCAAATGTTCATTGGTTTTTCTTTTTTTTTTTTTTGTTTTAGATCGCTGACTAGCTTGCTATTTCGTTGGCTCGCTTTCGCGTGGGCTCGACTTGAATTCGATGTCGTGTATCGAAATCAAAAGCAACGAACAACGAACGACTAGCTGTTACGGTGCAATTTGCTGATAGCTAGATCCACAGGGTGATATATTATGATCCACGAGCTGATATATCGTTTCGGAAACCAGGTTGAGCGGAAGAAATCGATTGGAGTTGGAAAAATCGAGGAGGCGATGCATTGGGAATGGTGTAAAATGATTGAAAGCCTCAAGGACATTTCAAGGTCACCTCTACTGGCAGTCACCTTCAAGAACTTTTACTTCGATAAATAGAATTAGAATTATATATTTGCTTTAATATTCTCAATGTATGTAGTTGATAAATTTATTTACCTACTTTGTACGATAAAATACTCGAATAATTAGTACACTAGTTATTAAACTTGTGATTATTTATCAAATGATAAATATTATATATTTAGTTGTTTCGTTGTTTATTTCCAAAGATTCAATAAAAAATAAATGTTACTCAATATATTAGTGACATTGAAATGACCTTAACACCTGTACTTCTTTTCCCACCATTCACAAGTAATTATTCGTAGTATAAATGACCTCGAACCTCTTCTAGCCTCCAAGTATTCAATTTCCTTAACCTAACTCCACAAGTATACCAGCTTGTAAATTAAAACGAGTCACCCTGTATGCTTTCTTTCGCGAGATTAACACTAAACGTTCGCGTGCTTCACGAGACAAGCGAAGTTCGATTCAGGCACGAGTGCGTGTAACAATTAAGTCGAACAAGACAATATACTTTAATACTTGCCAAATTCTTCGGATTAAACAATGATTTTCTGGTTGTTCATTTCTTGGAAATTCGTGAATATTATTTAAGGATAGTGTTTGAAAATGGAGACCACAGATTATCAATAAGCGTAGCAATGGTGGGGAATATCATATTGCTCGAGCCGAAGAAATACAGTGGGTGTAGAATGTATTCGTACACCGATCAATTTTCCAAAAACCTTTTGTATAAAATTGTACTTTCTTAACTTCTTTTTTTATAATCAATGATATTTTACATATTCTCGGAAGTCTCTAAGATAAATATAGTCCAAACAACATTTACTAGTTAATATAATTTGTGAAATTAATAAAAGAAAAGGCGAAAAGTAGGTAAAAGTATAGAAGGAATAAGTATTTGTACGATTCTTACGACGAACCATTTACAGTAGAGTTTGTAACGTAAACACATTAGTTTATTGCTCCGTAAGAATTAGAAAACATCAAATTTCCAGCAAAGTACTTTTAAAAAAGGTTCTAATAGAGGAATGGAAAAAGATCACACTTCGAATAAGTAATAATTTAGTTAATTTAATGTTTAGAAAAGTTGCAATAATTATAGAATCAAAAGGAAATTCCACGACGGAAATATTATATACTTATAAATTAATATAAATTTCTTTTTTTTTTAATCAAGTGTTAAAAATTAAACAGTTGTGCGAATACTTATTGCTTCAACATTTCTATCGATTAATTGTTTTTTTCTTTTTAATTTCGCAACTTACAAAAAAAAACTTTATAAAAAATAAATTAATAAATTACAATTTTACATAGTTTTTTTTGGAAATTGATCGGTGTACGAATACTTTCTACACTCACTGTATATAACAGTGATGGGAATTAATTCCTGATCACAGAACTGGAGGAATGAATTTAATTAAACTGGGGCATTTTGCAAATTTTAAACAAACTGCTATTAGTTATTTTCGACTGTTTGTTTTAACAAATAAATATTTATCGCTACCAGCAAAAAATCATCATTTCACCCGAATCAATTCGAACATCCCAAAAGGACACCAACGAGAAGTATGGTCACTCGTGCCATGCATCGAGTCGTGAATATCTCGCCACGATTAAATTCGACCAAAAAATGATCGATTCATCCACCATCTTTCGCTCAAATGAACGTGCATTCGAGTCTTCACGCAACTGTACGTATACTATTCTTCTCTCTGTCGTTCTCACGCGCTCCTCTCTCTCTCTCTCTCTCTCTCTCTCTCTCTCTCTCTCTCTCTCTCTCTCTCTCT